GATATAAAATCAACACTCATAAATCAAAGGCATTTCTGTACATCAGTGACAAATCCTCAAAGAGAAACTAGGAAAAACACCCCATTTATAATAGCCTCAAAAAATACTTCAGTATCAATGAAAGAGGTAAAAGACCTCTACAATGAAAACTATAGAATGCTAAAGAAAGAAATTAAGGAAAAGCTTAAAAGATAGAAAGATCTCACTTGTTTTTGGATAGGCAGAATTAACATTGTCAAAATGACCATACTACTAAAAGCACTATACAGATTCAATGCCATCCCAATGAAAATCCCAATGACATTCCTCATAGAAATAGAAAAAGTAGTCATGAAATTCATCTAGAAAAATAAGAGACCCAGAATAGCTAAATCAATCCTTAGCAGGAAGAGTGAAGCAGGTGGCATCACTATACCAGACCTTGAACTATACTACAGAGCAACAGTAACAAAAACAGCATGGTGTTGACAGAAAAATAGACTGGTGGACCAATGGTACAGAATAGAGGACACAGAGACTAACCCACATAATTACAGTTATCTCATATTGACAAAGGCGCAAAAAACATACATTAGAGAAAAGATAGCCTCTTCAACAAATGGTGCTGGGAAAACTGGAAATCCACATATAAAAAATGAAATTAAACCTCTATCTCTCACCATGTACAAAGCTCAACTCAAAGTATATTAAGAACCTAGAAATTGCACCTAGTGGAAGAAAAAATAGGCTCAAATCTCCATCATGTCATATTAGGCCCCAACTTCCTTAAATAAGACTTGTATAGCACAAGAATTAAAACCAAGAATCAATAAATGGGATGGATTCAAACTAAAAAGCTTCTTCTCAGCAAAAGAAACAATTAGTGAGATGAATAGAGAGCCTACAGAATGGAAGAAAATCTTTGCCAACCACACCTCAGATAAGGTGTTAATTTCCAGTATATATAAAGAACTCAAAAAATTTAACACCAAAAAAATAATAATAACCCAATCAATAAATGGGCAAAGGAACTGAACAGGCACTTCATAGAAGAACTATTAATTGTCAACAAATATGTGAAAAAAAACTGTTCACTATTTCTAGCAATTAGAGTAATGCAGATTAAAACTACACTGAGATTTTATTTCACTCCAATCAGAATGGCAAATATTAAGAATATAAATAACAATAAATATTGGCTAGCATGTGAAGAAAAGGGTACACTTATACATTGTTGATGGGACTGCAAGTTGGTGCAACCATTCTGGAAAGTAGTATGGAAATTCCTCAAAAAACTTGGAATGGAACCATCATGTGACCCAGTTATCCCACTCCTCAGTATATATCCAAAGGATTTAAAATCAGCAACTACGGTGATGCAGCCACATCAATATTTATAGCTGCATACTTTACAATAGCTAACTTATGGAGCCAACCTTGATGCCTATCAACAGATGAAGAGATAAATAAACTGTGGTATAAATACACAATGGAATATTACTCAGCCATAAAGAAAAATGACTTTATGACATTTGCCAGTAAATGGATCTAGAGACTATCATGCTAAGTGAAATAAGCCAATCCCAAAAACCAAAGGGAGAATATGTTCTTTGATATATAGAAGCTAAGAATAGAAGTTCAGAGGATTAGACAAAGGGAAATGTAGGGAAGAGAGGGAGGAAAAGAACAGGAAGGACAGGGGCTGGGGTTGTGGCTCAGTGGTAGCGCACTTGCCTGGCATGTGTGAGGCACTGGGTTCGATTCTCAGCACCACATATAAATAAATAAATAAATAGATAGATAGATAAATAAATAAATAAAATGAAGGTTAAAAAAATAAGAATAGGAAGGACAGTGGAAAAAATCTGACATAACTTTCCTATGTTCATATATGAATACACCACAGTGAATCCCAACATCCTGTACATTCACAAGCCTGGGCCCCTAATTAGAATAAGTTATATTCCATATATGTATAATTTTATCAAAATGGACTCTACTATTATGTAAAAATAAAAAGAAGCAATAAAAAAGAAAAAAGGGAGTTGGACTTTATCAAAAATGATAAATTTTTGTATATTAAAGGACATGGTCAATAGAATGAGAAAGTAACCTACAATAAGGGAGAAGGTCTTTGCAAATCATATATCTGATGTCAAATTAATATGTAGACCATGTAAAAAACTCCTACAACTCAACACAAAACCTGCTAACCTCGTTGACATTTTTATCTCCATGTTCAAAGGAGAATTATTCCCAACAGTTAAAACATGTAAATAACCCAAGTGTCCATAGATGGATGAATGGATAAGGCAAAGCATAGTATATACATATAATGGAATATTATTCAGTCTTAAAAAGAAACTCTGACATGTGTCATATGGTGGACCTTGAATATATCATGCTAAATGGAATAAACCATTCAGAGAAATATGAATATTATGCAATTCCACTTATATGAAGTACTTATTGTAGTCCAATTAATAGATATAGAAAGCAGAATACATAAAGCAGAAGGCTAGTTGTTAGGGACTTGTGGGAGAGTAGAACAGTAAGTTAGTGTTCAACTTGTTAAGTCCTAAGGTTTCAATTCTATGAATATGTCAATGAAATTGACATGGGTGGCTTAAAATAGGCTGTGAATCATACACACATACACACACACACACACACAAATGTGTGTGTGTGTACATTACAGGTTTGTATTAAAGGTATTTTTAATACCAAGCCTTTTTTTACAAATGAGGAAAAAGATTCAGATATATTCAGTACATTTGTGTGTGTGTTCAAACACTCTAACACTTCACTTATTACTTTTCTCAAAAGAATAGACCTCTAAATCCAATATTTCTTCAAAGTTAACATCAATGTTATATTTGTTGCTCAATTTAAATTTTGATAGGTGTTCCATATCTGGGACAATGAGAAAAAATGGATTAATTAATACTGAGTTTCAGTTGGGGAAGATGAAAAGTTCTAAAGATGGTTGGTGGTGATGTTTACACAATGATACAAATGTAAGTATTGCCACAGAACATTACACTTTAATTGGTTAAAAGTTTAAGTCTTTTATTATAACATTACACTACACACACACACACACACACACACACACACACATACACTTTCAAAGAAATCTGAAGTTTTCCCTTGGATATTGGTACAATCAAAATTTTAAAATTCTGTTGATTAAGATTAGTGGGCTTCATTCAATTTTATTCAGTGAAACAAGAAATTTATATTCAAGACAATCATAATAGCACACCAATAGAAGTGCTATTACCCAGTTATTAAATATTGAAATCCTTCAAGGCTTTATTCTAATTTGACTTCTATTTGCACATCTTACAGTAACATTAGGGAATCTCTTCCATATCTAGAGTTTCAGTTATCATGAACATGCAGATGACTAACAAATTCATGTCTTCAACTATTTCTCTGAGATCAAATGTTTCATGTCTTGAATTGCTCATACTTGACATGTCCCAAACCAAAGTCATGATCAGCAACTCCATACTTGGTTACTTCACCCAATTGATTAAACCATAAAGCCAGGATCTTACTCTTATTTACATTCCATATCTCATAAGTTCCCATGCCACCATGTACTTCTTGCTATCATTCATACTCCAGCAGTTTTACATTAATTTCTGTATTTGGTTAATATCTGTCTCCCATACTAGAGCACACATTCCAGGTGGACTTTATTTTTGCACATGATCCTATTCCCAGAATATAACACAGTGCCCAGTACATAGGTATTTAGTACATATTTGTTGAATTAATAAAACTTTAAACTTTAAACCAATCATTAGAAAATAGTATTTTATGAAATGCAATTCCTTTCCTTCCTACCAATATGAAGGTGAGAATTGTTCCTCAAGCAGAGTTAGTGATTGAAGTTTAACATTCACCCTGAGATTGCCTGGTTATTGTCTTTAGTTCTGGTTCTTTAGTGTTTTCTTCCACATTTAAATAAATTTCTTGAACACATCTAACATTTCTAGTGCAATGACTCCTGTATCTGTTGCCTCTCATTAATGCTAATCAAAATATACTTCAATTCTTTGTTGGAAAATATTAAATATTTGATGTGCACAACTCAGAATGGAGATGGAGGTTTGGGGGATGTGAATGAGAGTGAAGGAATGGAAGAGTTTATCTCAGAACTCAAAACTCCAAGCATTCATGTTTTTCTACTAGCTATGAATGAGTTTAAAACCTGAATCTTTTTCCTCATTTGCAAAAAAAGGCCTGGTATTAAAAATACCTTTAATACAAACTTGTAATGAGGATTTATATACAGAAGTGTTCCTAAAATCACTGTTAACCATAACATTTTAAAAAATCATGTACTTAACTATTGCAATATGACTGGGGTTTGAATGAATCCTAAAATAGCAATGGAAGTGTGGAGGAGATACTTTTTATGTCAGTGACTTACAATTTGTGGGTAACTATGTTTTACAGTGCATTTCTATCTTATTCTTCAACTTTTTTTGTACCAGAGATTTAACACAGGGGTGCTTAACCACTGAGCCACATCCCCAGCCCTTTTATTTATTTATTTGTTTGTTTGTTTATTTGTTTATTTATTTATTTTTGAGATACGGTTTTGCTAAGTTGCTTAGGTACTTGTTAAGTGGCTAAGGCTGGCTTCAAATTTATGATCCTTCTGCCTCAGCCTCCCAAGTCACAGGGATTATAGGCATGCACCACCACACCAGACCTGAACTTTTTGAAATGAAACTTGGAGTGGCTGCAGCAAAGACATACTTTACAGAAAAAAGGAGGGAAGAACATTTTTTTATATCATATATTTAACCAGTCTATTTAGAGTCTGTACGTCTATAATGGTTCAAATTCTTGGAAATCACAATTTCCCTCATTATTTCTCACTCTCCTAATGACCTGAGACAGTAACAAGGTGGGTGGTTGCTAGGTGCCTCCTGGCTTCCTGAAGGCTAGTTTTTACGTCATCGGATTGTGGTGTATTACTCCCACGTGTATGCGTACCGATTATGAGGTCTCACACCATTCCAGTATATAAAGCTCAATGGAATTGTGTATCCCAGTCGCACCAGGTAGTGAGAGGCACCTACCATTCTGGCCCGTGGTTTCCACCGGCCGGGTGGCTACCGGCCCCCTGATTCCCAACTGCCAGCTGAGTGCATCTGTCCTGAGAAAATAGAAGTGGACAAGGAAGAACCATGAGCACGTTTTTCCTTCTACTGAGCTGCGTTACTTTCGCCTTTTTGATTGTCTTATGGAAAAAACGACATCAGGTAAAGGTGTATGTATGTAAGAGATTGGACTTAGATGAAGCTAGGTGAATACGTGGATCAGGGAGTATGTTTTCAAAACTCTAGAAAGATAATAAAATAAGAATTAAGGGGAGATGTCATCATTCCTCTTTTCTGCCACAAAGCTCCAGACTTTTATTTCTTCCTGATCCTCATCCTCCGCAATTCCCGCATTTTGGTCAGTGATTCGCCTCGTGGACTGATATAAAATAGCTCCAAATCATTAAGTGATATAGTTACCTTTCTACCCACTTGGAAAGAAATGTGTAGTTAAAAGTTCCCATTCCCCACCACCATGACCCATTTTAAGAATCTGTAACTACTTCTTTTTCTTTTCTTATTTCTACAACCCCCGTGTTCCTGTTTGCTTCTCCTGCCATCGTTGTGGGAGCTCTCTGGACATTTACCAGTATTTCATGTTTAAATATGGACTTCCTGGTTTCAAGTTGCAAATGAAGTACTTTTAGATAAGGGTCAAAGACAGCATCTACATGTAGACCCACTGGACTGCCCAAGAAGTGTAAGCAAAAGCATATAGCACTTTGGAGCAACAAGGCTACTTTGATATTTTTTTCTCAGTCTGTCTGGGCAGAACATATTTTGAATCAATGTGGTCATTCAACACATTTTTAATCTCTCTTAGGGGAGGTCAGTTAATTTTTGTAACTAAGTTGTTATTTGGTAGTATTTGGAAATTACTACAATCAATAAACTACATATGTATAATTTCCTTTACAGAGAAACACTGGTGAAACATCATCAAATTCGACTTCTCTTGCACTAGTAAGAACTTCTCCTTCTTGGTCACCTAGGAGCAATACTGATAGTCTTTCAGTCAACAACCTCTCTCGGATATCTTAAATAATTTCCCACACTCAATAGCAATACAGAAGCGAATATTGGTAAACCTCAGGATCGTGGAATACAAGCTGGCTGAATTGGAAAATTTCCTAATTATCAAGGGCATAACTGGTGCATTACTTAAGCAGGAATCCACTGAAAAGGTTACAAGATGTAATGACAGTGGAAGCAATCATTAAAGACACTTTGAGTGAATTCATTTGATTATGTGTTTATACCAAATGAATTATTATTTAAAAGGGAAGGGGATATCAAGTCAGATACAAAATCCAAACATTTATTGATTTTTCTTACTCATATTTTATTTAAAGAATTGATTACATGTACTTGCTAAAATATATTTTACTGGGGAAGGAATGGAAGAACAATACAGTAAGAAAATCAGTCCAAAAGTTTTTTGTTTGTTTTTTTTTTTTTTTTTTACAATAAGCTACATTCAAAAAATAGTTGAGACATAGTGATTATAATTTCATTCAAGAGTGAAAAACTGTTTTCTCTAGTGGTTTACAGCATAATACTGCAATTATCTCCATGCTTGAATTAAAGTAAGTAGAATTTGATGGAACTACTTTCTATTATTCAGAATACTGTTTCTTGACACTGTTGAATCTGTGTAATAATAATAAGAGCTATCATTGGGCAACCTGCAATATGCCAAGAACTTCATTAAGATCTTGTGAAGATAGTGACAAACATTTAACTAGTCTTTGTGGTCAACTTTTGAAAAGGATTGCTTCCACTTCATATATCCCCTCTCCCATTAGATATTCTTTTATTTAAAATGTGCCAAAATCTTCCCTGAATTGCAAGTCACCTATAGAAAATGCCATGCATTTTTCTCTTTGGTGAAAAATCTGCACCTCAAATAGCACCAAATTATAGTGGTAGCATGCAAGTAATGTAATGTGGATTAAAATTATGAAAAAGTATTTCTAAGCACTACTCAGTTATCTCTTTCAAATAATATTTTACAAAATCTGGTCTAGCTAAGGAATTAATATCTTGAAGTTTTCTAACATCATCTAACCTACCTCAAAGAAAACCCTCAAGATATCAAATGTGAGTTCATTATCCATATGTACATAATTCACTGATATTATTTAAACATAATTCATTTATATGGTTCAATTTCAGGCCTGTTTACCTTGATGCCCCCTTCCCTCAAAATAAATTATCAGTATAAATTAAATAAATGCCTTAATACCTTATTCCTTTATCTTAAATTGAAAGGAAAAGGGATTTAAAATGTATAAGAAAAACTATTCCTAAAAAAAGAAAAGGAAAAAATTCCTTCTAGTGTCAGTCACTTGCCAAGCATAAAAACCAGCAGCAGCATTTGTGATTCTTAAAATTTTTTGATTCCTAAGTCATTTTGGTACTCTGATGAAAACTACGGACTCTCTCCCTACAAAAAAAAAATGCATGTCTACATCACACAGATGATGTTACATATAATTTCAGTGCCATAATTCCCTCAAGCCTGTTAAAAAAAAAATCTTAAAAATTGCTGAGAAATTCCTTGTATAGTTAGGCAGTGTTGATTGTCCTAGGCTATGATGTTTAAACCAATTCTCAATGAAATACAATCAAAATATAAAGCTGTTAGTTATCTATTTCATTAACAATAGTAAGGAAACAAGGATTTAGAATCTTCCTTTTGGACAAGTTTATCTCTTATTAATATGTAAATATGTAATTATCACCCATAATCACTAACTTATTCACATAAGACTAGCCATATATCATGATTATTAAATGCAAATTTTGAGTAAAACCATTTTCTCATTAATATTTTGATCCATATTTTATGTGAAATTAAACCAATATTCAGAGAATATAATGAACTCTTAATGTTGCTAGACAATAGAAATTAGATGTGTCATAGTTTTCTTCCAAATACAACCTAAAGAAGGAAGACAGAATATAAGGAAACCTGTATTCCACTTTCTATATTTATCCCTTACTGGCCAAAGTATTCTTATTTCTCCTGTCCTGTCAATAAGTTCACATAGAAAACATGAACCATAAATGCATGAAGTTTTTAGACATATTTGGATCAAAAGCACTAAACTATAATATTTATATAATATGAATAGTCATTTTTCAACATATTTATGATGTTTCTAAGTGAGGCCCTTAGTTTGTAAGACATCCTTTTAAATACACTGATATTCCCCCAACTTGTGAAAAAGAAAGGTTGTATGTTAAGAAAATAGAAGAAATAATAATTTTCAAGTTACATAACAGAAACAGCTCAAAATAAAGCATTCAATGTATTAGAAAAACATTATGGTAATATTTTTTTAAATTTCACTGTGAAATAATTGTGTGCATATTATACAGATAGCTAATCTTAAAAGAAATATAAGCACATTGTTAAACATTAATAGATTCACATTTTATATTACATTCCTGCTTAAGGGTGAAAAATACTTATTACCCTATTGTGAACATAGCATATATATTTTTCTACTCAGCTAACATACAAATAAATAAAAATTACCCCTACTCTAAAATCACATTATACAACAACCATTTTTAAAAATGAGGTCTCATTCTGGTTTTCTGCTGCCACTAATAGTAGGTATTTCATGGTCAATCTCTTTCTTAGGCTCTACCATGTTTTTATATCTCTCCCCACGATGTTGTTCCAGGTATGGACCCCAGTTAGGAGCTGGTTTGCAGCAGCTTACAATGCGCTGAAATGAGATAAACAAAAAATTCCTGTCTTAGAATATAAGTGTTATAATCTGCAAACAAATATTAAACTATAACTTAATTCTAACATTTTGTTTCTTTGCTAACAAGCAAATATTTTACTATGCTTTAATTTTGACCATATTAAAGTTGCCTGCAAAAATTAAAAATTGAAAAGACAGATTAGACTTTATTGCATACATGATTAACTATTTGATCCCATTCCAAAGAAGTAATTTATCAAATAAACTAAAATTAAAATACAATTAAGAACTAAAATAATCAAGTAACAAGCCAGAAGATAAAAAATGAAATAAGAATCATAGAAAAGTTGAAAAGTGAATCTAAATTCTTAATAATGCAGTCTACTAAGAAGAAATTAAATAAATTGTTATTACCTACTTGTACTGAATATTAAACTATATTTTCATTTATAATTTTTAAGTTTCTATGCTAACAATAATTAAATAGCAAGTTAAAGAGTTAAATACTCAATAATGCAGTCTAAGAAGAAATTACAATCAAATAAATTATTACCTAAGTGTTAATAGAATCATACTAACAATCAAACTAATCAAATATGTAAATGACTTCAGAAGGCATGTGAGCTCATTAGAGTAACAGGTTCACTTACAGTTACCTTCACTGAATTTACATGATTTCCATCTGGCTTTGAGGTGAGGGTGAGATGAGGATCTAAACTAGTGTATAGTTGCATGTGGTTTAAGAACGAAGGAAAGGAAGTTCCAATGTCAAAATATTTATTTGGATCCTTCTAGTAAGAGGATTTACTTAATTTAAGGCTCCTTGTCATTATTCTAGTAAAAATTCATAATCAAATCTACCTGCTAAGCCTCCATGGAGAAAGGATGATCCAAGGTCTACATAGGGTTTGAGATAATTTACCAAGCCTATTGCAGTCTAAAAAAAAAAAAAAAACAAAACACACACACTACTAGGACTTGTGTTATAACCAGATGAGGCTTTAAAAGTAAAGATTATGGGGCTGGGTTGTGGCTCAGTGGTAAAGAGCTCACCTAGCATGTGCGAGGCCCTGGGTTCAATCCTCAGCAACACATAAAAATAAATAAAATAAAGGGAAAAAAAGTAAAGATTATGTATATAAAAAGCAAATGACTTTCTACAATCTACTGAGTTATCCCAAAGATATCACAAGTCATTTGCTTTTTATATTTATCTTAACTGGTGTATGTTAAGTACTGTAATAGGTCTTGATGATCCACTAACAAGACAGACAAGACTTCTCACAAGGCGCTTATAGTCTAATACAGGGAGACAATGTAATGTACTAGTAACAGATGATTATATCAAGTATAGAAGTAGTAAGAAGAAAGAGTTATTACTTAATTGCATATAATCTCATATTACTGCCATATAAAGTAAATTAATGTTCATTTTTCTGACAAATAATTTATATAAAGTATTTTACAATTTAATATGCTTACTTGAAAGATGTTTCCTTCAGCCTGAACTATTTTTATGATAGCAACAATTGGAATCCAAATAATGCAGAAAATAATCATACACCAGCCCAGAGCAACTCCCCAGTCAGGGTATGAAATTTCACCATATGTGGGTCTCTGAAATTTCACCAGTGACCATATTAAAATTGCCTGCAAAAAGAAAAAAATGAAAAGACAATGCTATAGATTAGACTTTATTGCATATATGATTAACCATTTGATCCCATTCCAAAGAAGTAATTTATCAAATAAACTAAAACTAAAATACCATTAAGAACTAAGATAATCAGGTAACAAGCCAGAAGGTAATAATATGAAATGAATAAAATTTCTATTTTTACTTTGAATAAATTCTTCCAAAATTTAATACCACCATAAAAGATATAAATACTTGTTCCACATATACTTTGGTAAAATACTTGACTAGGACTGAAAGTAAAATAAATTTGAAATTTTTTATTGAGCTTTTAACTCTACTAATTTAAATATTTTTATATTTTTATTTTTAATTGATTCATAAAACATTTAAGTATACATATTAATTGAGTTATGTTTTGATACGTGCATATATTGCATAATGTTTAAATCAGGTTAAACTTATTTGTCTCTTCAGACATTATTTCTTTATTGTTAAAACTTTGAAAATCCTTTCTTCTAGCCCTTTGAAACATAAAGTATACTATTATTATCTAAATTCACTCTACTGTGCAATGGCATACCAGAACTTCTTGTTTCTATCTAACCATAACTCAGTACCACTGATCAATATTTAATAATACTGCTCCACTACACACACTTTTCCTGGTCTCACTGTTCTAGTTTTCAATATCCATGAGATCATTTTTTTTAGATTCCATGTGTGAGTAACATCATGTGATACTTGTCTTTTTGTTCCCAGCTTATTTCACTTAACATTATCTTCAGTTCTATCCACATTGTTGCAAATGATAAGATTTCATTCTTTTTATGGCTAAATAGAATTCCACTGTATATATGCA